CTCTAGCAAAACCAGTGATCTCTGGGTCCAGCAAGAGAGCCTGTCTCAAAAAGCAAAGTGGACAGAGATGGAAGAAAACATCTGTGTCAGCCTCTGGCTCCTGTATGCATGTATTTGTGCATGCACGCTCCTCTGCACACATGTATGTGTGTATGCATGCTCATCTGTATACACATATGCATGTATGGTGTATGCATGCTCATCTGTATACACATATGCATGTATGTGTGCATGCATGCTCATCTGTACACATGTATGCATGTATGTGTGTATGCACACTCATCTGTACACACACACACACACACACACACACTCATTGTCCTCGCTGTCCTTTACTTCAGTCCTTCAGGCACACGTGTGAAGGACTCATCATGCGATACACACAGAGTCAAAGATGAAGGACATATTAAGGATAAGGAAAATTTTGGAAAGAGGCCTGCCCTTTAGAAACTCAAAACCAAGGCACGTGGACAGACTGGCCAATGGCGGGGTTGATTCGTTATGGCAGCCCAGGGTGGACACAATGATCTTTTTGGAGCAAATTTGCTAAGTAGGAAAGTGAGAGAGGCTTGATCGACCCACGCAGAGGAATCATGGGAAATTGTCTGAATCCAGTTTCTAAGACCTGCTTGCTTCTCTGAGTCGCCAGCTCTGCCCTTGGGACATCAGCTTCTTGTTATATTCGTGTACAGCCAGCTACCAGGAACAGTGGGGACCTATTTACTGTTCTGCATTTTCTGAAAGCTGAAAGTCCAGGCTGACCCCTGGGGTAGCTGTGTCCTCTGCTCCAGAGGTCATCGGGCTGAGAAGGAGGTGTTCTTTGGGGGATTTGGGACTATTGGCAGAATTCAGTTCTGTGTCATTCCAGGACTGTCTTCCAGCTGACTCCTGCCGGGGACTACTGTCATGTGACTCCCTCCATAGGCAGTTGGTAAACATGGCTGTCTGCTTCTTCAAATTCTGCAGACAAGTTCCTAAGCAGTCTGCTCAGATGGAGGCTTATCTAGCAGTACCTACAGGAGCAATTATGTAATTCATGATGGGTAGTCATCATTTTTAATCCCAGGCACACCTGTACAGGGTTGTCTAGATTAAGGTTAGCCTCTGGAAATGTCTGTGAGGATTGTCTTGATTGTGTTCCTTGATATAAGAAGAGCCATCTTAATTGTGGGTACGCTCATTTCCTGGGCATGGGGTGCCAGAGTGCCTAAGATGGAGAAGACAGGTTGAGCACAGTGCATGCAATCTCTGCTCCCTTCTTCTGGCTGCAGACATGATGGGATCAACGGTTTTAAGCTCTTACTGTCGTCCTCTGCCCACCCCCACAATGGGCTGTAATCTGGAATTGTGCTGTGAACTCCAAGCCGCTCACAGGCTCACAGAACTCTGATCTGGGCCTGTCCACCTCCTCTTCATCCACTCCTGCCCTTCTCTCACAGATGCGAACTCACTGAACCAGCGGTTCTCCAAACAAGCCACGTTCCTTCACTCTTTCTCGGCAGACCATCCTCTACTGTCCCAGCCTGCAACCGCAGAATCAACTGGTTCTAGGCTGAGGGTCTTCCAGGCAGAGTTAGAATCACATGCTATTAAAGCATTTATCAAATCATCTTCTAACCCTTTGTTTCCATGTGGACCCCACTACGGGAATACAAGCTCCCTGATGCTGAAAGGCAGACCTAACTCAGATTGGTACCGCTGGCAAGAAATGCGAGATCTAAAGGGGAAACTGAATATGTGGTTGCTGGAAAGATGGTCAGTTTTAGAAAGCACCCAGTGAATCTTGGGCTTTATAGTTTCCTGGATCTTGTTTGGGTTACTGCTTTTTAAGACTTTTTAACAATAGTCACTAATGCCTATGTCACAAGCTGAGTCCTAATTTTAAAATGAAGGCGGCCAAGAGTGCTCATTCATTCATTTGGCAACAAATATCCATTGGGAAACCCGTATCGGGCACTAAATTTAAAGTGGGAAAATCAGGCAAGGATCCTCTCCTCGCGCGGCTTCCAGTCCATCGGGTCTGTCCGTTTGAAGGAGAGGTTCACTTTGATATAGAACATATCAATAGGAAATTACAGACTGAAGCAAGAGTTGGGAAGGGAAAAGAAATGGTTGCCAGACAACAAGGTGATGGATCTAATGTAGATGGAAGTTCCTTGCCTCGTGATGGTGTTGTAACTTAATCAACTCATTGTAAATGGAAAATGTTGTAAAAGGAGAAAGTATTTGTTTAGCTTAGCCCACCTACGGAACATCAAAGCTTCAGAAGCAATATACCGCAGGTTTCCGTTGTTTGCTCTTATGATCATGTGCTTAAGCAGGAGTGTGGCCTGCCAGCTGTACAGAAGCAAGAATAAGCTGCTGGAGAGACGGCTCAGCAGTTAAGAACGCTTGCTGATCTTAAAGGGGTCAAGATCATGAAGGGAAACCCACATAGACAGCTGACCTGAGCAATGGGAGCTCACTGATTCTGGACTGACAGTTGGGGAACCTGCATAGGACCAAACTAGGCCCCCTGAATGTGGGTGACAAGTCTGTGACTTGAGCAGTCTGAGGGGCCACTGGCAGTGGGACCAGAATTTATCCCTACTGTGTGAACTGCACAGATATGGAGAGATACCTTGCTCAGCCTTGATACCCGGGTGGGGGAATGGGTGGGAAAGGACTTGGTCCTGCCACAACTTGATATCCCAAACTTTGTTAACTCCCCATGGGAAGCCTTACCCTTTCTGAGGAGTGGATGGGGGATTGGGTGGGAGAGGATGGTGGAGGGGAGCAGGAGGAAGGAAGGGAGAGGGAACTGTGGTTGCTATGTAAAATGAAAAAAGAAAACTTAAAAAAAGAAAAAAAGAACATTTGCTGCTCTTACAGAGAACCCAAGTTTAATTCCTAATACCCACATCTAGCTATTCATAACTTCTTGTAACTGCCAGTCCAGGGGATCTGACACCCTTTTATGGCTACCATAGTTGTGTGTCTGTCTGTGTGTATGTGTGCACACACACAGACACCTATATATTTACATATAGATATATAGATACAAATTCACAAACAGAACCACTGTAAGTTGGAGACCATCTGTAGAAGTGTTAGGAATATTCTCTTGGAAGATATGATCCTAGAGGGGATGGGGGAACCATGAAGAAAGAACACTCCGGTTAGGGCCTTCCATTCTGACAACAGGGTCTCTGGGGCCCAGGAACCAGAATAATTATCCAAAATCAGCTGTCAAGCAGGACGGGACCTTACGAGGTTCCTCTCCATATTCCCAATTCCCCTATGATAAGTTCCTTGTGGTTCTACAAAGGAAGTAAGTGGTGCTCTGTAGCTGTCACTCCCTGGCCTTGTCCTCAGTCCCTGGAACGTTCTAGGGACCCAGTAAGCTCCCTCCAGCAAGGCTCCTTGGTTAAGTGTTGAGGCTCAGGACACTACCTCCTTCTGGGACGTAGGAACCTCCCCCTGCACCCTGCAGCACAGTGGACAGGGAGGCAGGTCCATCCCTCTGCACTCAGCCTTTGGAGAGCCACTTGAGGCAATCTGTCACTTGGGCTTCAAGCTGCCAGCCCAGGAGGAGAGCTGAGAAGACTCTATAATGAGATCTTCCGTGGTAATTAAGTGCCAGGCTTTGTTTTAACCTATCCCTCCTGCCCTCCTTGATCATATCACCTAGCTGGCAGGCGGGGAGCAGGGAGTGTGAGTCACCCTGGGATTACACCCCAGTTACAAGAGGCAGCTGTCATCTTTGTCCAAGCTCCATGCAACCCCAGTCTTACCCAGACTTCTGTCCTTGAACTGGGTTTCACACCCGCACCACCACCACCCCCGCCCCGAAAGCTACTTCTTCACCTTCTTATAAAAATCACCTCGTTTTAACACTCTAGTGGCAGCAAGCTCTGGGAGCCTTTTCTTTCCTTTAGCATGTCCCTTTTCAGAAAGCAGACATTGCCCTGCCCCCACCATGCACCCTCCCTCCAGGAGCGGAATGAGGGTGGGAAGGAAAAGGGAAGTTGGGACAGAAAGACAGTGGGCTGGCAGGACAGAGAGCGTCTCTGCTCTCTTACAGTCTCTGAAGGAAATCACAGCTTCCTTCCTCAGCCTTCTGTCCTGTGCAGGAGCGTCTGTGGATTCAGTACTAGGCTGGGCAGGTGGCTCCGGTGGCAAAGGGCTTGTGCAAGCGTGAGGACCAGAGTTCAATTCCCAGGACCCATGTAAAAAAAAAATCCAGGCACCGTGGCCCTTGCTGGTAATCCTAGCACTGGAGGGATAGAGCCCCGCAGAGCCCTGGGCTTTCTGGCCAACTAGTTTTACTTACTTGGCAAGTTCAGAGAGAGCTCCTGTCTCAGTAAACAAGATGGACAGCTCCTGATGAATGATACCAGAGATGATTCTCTGGCACTTAAACACATGTGCACATGTATACACACACACACACACACACACACACACACACACACACACACTCGCACACCTTCAATAGTTAGGACAGAGGATGCAGCTGAGTATTAAAGGGAAAGACGCCATCCAGCCTCACTCCCAGCACATCTTCAGGATTTGGTCTGAATTTGGCGCAGGTCAAAGACCACAGGCAAGAATGGAACTAACTGTATGGGTGCCGGTCCTGCAGCTGCGCCTCTGTGGAGCACTTCTGGACTCGGGCCTAGGCTTTCTTGCCTGAGTCAATGCTGGCCTAGATTATTTCAACATATGGTTTGGGGTATCTTCAGAAGTCACGGCTTGCCCTCGGCCTCCAGTCCTGGGCTCTATGATAGCCAATAGCCGCCGCCAACCCCAATTCTGATTTCTCTCCTGCCTCAGTCACAAAATCATCGCAGCAGAGATAAAGGTCTTCCCCCTGGTAAGAGAGCAAAGAGGGTACCTAGGCTGAGGTAACTTGCCTAGGACTTCTGGATAGGACTTTTAGAAAAGACGGGCACGGACCACAAAGTGGGCGTGGTCGGGGCTGTGGGCGGAGCCCCCAGCGGCAGGCAGGGCCTTCCCGATCCCAGCGCTCCGCTGCAGCTTTGGTGTCAGGAGCGAAATGAGGTCAGCCCTGGAGCCCGCGGTGTGGGGGATCCTGCTTTGGAGGTGAATGCCTTGTAGTTGCAGGGGGTCCTGCAACGGGTTCCCTGAGACCGGCGGGGGGCCGGGACGCCGCTGAACACGGCGGGACACGACTGGACACGGTTGGTGCCACCGCCCCTCTTCCCTCCTCCTAGGTTGGTCCTGGGCCCTTTTAACTTTCTTTCCCGCCTGACGTCCAGCCCCTAGAAGGCGCACTCTGTCACTCGGTGCTGTGGAAAATGGGGTCCCCTGGCGGTGAATGGGGAGCAGAGCGGAGAGCTAGCCGAGGGGGCATATCCTGTGCCCAGCAGGGCAACTCTAGAACTGACAAGTCGCTTGCATGCTGGGCTTAGAACAAGGGGTTCCCTAGTGTGTGACTCTCCTGGCTTTCACCTTTGGCCCCACCCTCTGGAAGAGGCCAGTGGTGATCAAGAATCGCTATGTTCCTTGGAAAGGGGAGGCAGTCACCATCACCTGAGCTATGGACACCTTAAAAAGTCCACTGGCAGCGAAGGCTTTGAACACTCTATCTGGCCAGCCTGACCGATTCCATGTGAATACTGTTGGCTCTGAGGCTGGAAAGAAAGTCATCCTGCCTTTGGTGATTGCAGCCCGTTCTTTCTGTAAGCCACAGCTGTAATGGTCCCTGAGGAGTGATGGTGGGTTGGGGGACCATCTCGTTGTTGGTTGTCTTGGGAGAGAGGGTGTGCTCCCCAGGAAGGCTCCTGAGGCCTTGTGGAAGACGAAAGTGGGGTGACTGCTTCCTCCCAGCCGTGGGTGAGCCCTAGAGTTAGCTAGTGTTCAGAACACATCAGTGTAGCACTGCCCACAGGCAAGCAGCTTGACCGCAGGGCCCTTTACACTGTTGCTGTGGGATGTTCTTGTCAGACCCCTGCATGAGCAATGCCTCCCTCCCGCACCCCTGCATGAGCAATGCCTCCCCTCCCACCCAGTGCCTGGAATGGGGTTTGAAATGCTTATCGCCGTGGTCACAGGAGGCAATAGGATTCTGACACACATACGTGGCCTCTTTTCTCTGCCTTTCCTCAGAGGACATAACTCTGAGTAGTCTGTCCATGATCTGTACATAGTTCTTGACTCCATTCACCTAATTCTCTGGAACAAGAAAATCAGCAGCGAGAAACTCCCAGCATGCCATGCAGAGTCAGGAGGGAATCCTGGGAAGAGGGCCCTGGGTTCTGCTCTGCTAACTGCTTACTTAGTCTTGTACCCTGTGTTGGGGTTTCTAGGGGTGTCCCAGAGGAGGGACCTAGACAAAACTTGATTACAGGGCGGCACCAACAACAGCCCCTATGATAAAAATCGGGATGACTTAGCTCATACATACGGGTTTAATAGTCATCCTGGAAGACAGCCCATCCTAACTCATGGCCCAGGATCACTCGCCTCCAACCTGCACTGCTCTGAGCAAAGCAAGAAAAGCTTCCCGATTTCATTGTGTGACTGCAAAGCTAATCCTGTCAGGTTTTTAGCTCTGTCTGAGGAGGGATGACCTCTTCTGGGGCTGATGTCTCTAGGTCACAGGTTTCTTTGTTAATCTCCTGCATGTCAGCTTTAGCTCCTCTGAGGAGTAGATTCAGAACTGTTCTGTTTGTCCATGCATGCTCTCAGTCCTGGGTAAGTAGCCAGTTACTGAGCCCAGATGTGTTTGTTCCGTTCTTCACTTTGTGGAGAATTCAGAGGGCAGACCCACACACTCAGTCATATCTTTCTAGCCCCGTTGTCAGAGTCTTCGGGTGTGTGAGCCATATCCTATGACGTGCTCAGCTCTGTGGGACAAAGACAGGGTTGGGGCATGGCTCCCACAGTCCTGGATTGTCCAGGTGTCCGTGGGAGGCAGAAACCTACACCAGTGAGACAATTAGAGCACAGTCAAAGAAAAGCCATATCGTGGCATCTGCTAACTCAGAGAAACAGGCTCTGGGGCTGGGAGAAGCAGAGAACACTTGGAAGGGCTGGATGTTAAGAAGTTCAACTTCGAAACCTGGCAAGGACCAGACCAGGCTGAAGAGTAGCCTGGATCAAGAGAAGTAGAGTCCATAGACTCAGCTCCCTCTGCAGCCCCAGTTCCTGCTGCATGCCCCCCACCACTGCCTGCCAATCTCTCTCTCTCCCCCTCCCCCAGAACACCAACCTTTCCACACTGACTTTCCGCATGGTCCCGACCATACCTTCTTTTTCTCTCCTCTCCTCTCCTCTCCTCAGAGAATCTTCTGCTTTTTTGTTTAGAGACTGGGTGTAGCCCAGGCTACCCTGGAACTCTGTGTACCCCAGGCTGGCCTTGAAGTTCTTATCTCACTTATCTGAGCCCAGTCTCCCACATGCTGGGATTACAGGCAGGCGAGAGCGTATGCACAGAAGAACAGGTCCTGGAGGCCAAAACAGGCCACGAGAGCCCCTGGAGCTGGAGTGACAGGGAGTTGTGAGCTGTCACAGTGAATGCCGGGAGGGAGACTTGGGCTGTCTGCCAGGGCAGCCATTGTTCTTAATTGCTGAGCCATCTCTCCAGCCCTCAACTTTACCTTATGACGGTCAGACACTTTCCGCTTCACCAAATTAATAATACAGTAATCGTGGCAAGCGCATCGGTAGCATCTACATGGAGCCAGGTATTGTTCTAAGGACTGAGTTCAGTGCTGACTAGGATTCACGCTCGTCATGCCTGCTTGAGATCTAGTCACTCAAAGCCCCCCTGCTAGACTCAGGACAAGCGAACTGACCCTTTGTCAGGTTCATGTTCACATTCCCGATGCCACCACGAAAACCATCACCCAGTGTCATTGGACTAGCTGTCTATCTGGACTCAGTTTCAATGTGGCTTAGAGCACTCTCGTGGTCAATAGTAATTTGGTAGTCAATGAACCAAATGCAGTGTGTGAGATGCTGTAAGAGACCCAGAGATCCGAGCTGTATTGCCCATCTCATTTGCCCTTCACAGTCACCCCAATTTGGAGGAAGGGAAAGTGGCAAGGATTTGAACTTCGTGCAAATGTAACGGAGGCGGTGGTACCAAAAGTCACCCCCAGCCCTGCTGAGCTCAGGGCCACAGGCTGCTCAGAGATATGACCCCCATCTCCATCTCTGTAGTGACAAAACAATGGGCGAATCCCTAATGTGGACGTACTCAGACGTGCAAGATTGTCACACCGATTCCTTATTTTCTAGAAATCGACTTATTCTGTGCTTGAACTCTGGTTCTCCCTGGGCTGGGATTCACAGTAAACACCCCGGGATTTTCAAATTTCCAGATTTTATGTACTTCCAGGACCGCAGAGACAAGGGTGGGCAGTGTGACCTGCCTGGTCACTCCGGTTATCCCTGAGGGGGGGCCTTAGTCTCTGTCCCCCCAGAAGGCCCCTCCATTCTGATGGCTCCAGCATTTGGCTGCTTCAAAACACAAAGCTAATTCCCTGGAGCCTAACCATTCCTGCCTTCCCGGGCCTGCTAGACCAGGTTTCCCTTTCTGTTTCTACTGCCCAGCTGCCCACTTCCTGGATTTCTCAGCATGGAGTCTGTGTCCTCACCCCAAAGACCCTGCTTGGGAGCCCACAGGCTCCCTCTGGGTATAATTCTGTCACATGCTTGCCAGAGGGCAGTGTCTAGAGAAACTGTGAGGAAGGTGGAGGTGGGAACACAAGGAAGGAGAAAACAAGAGTTCCAATCCCAAAAGTCATCAGACTACACTCTGAGAGGAAGCTTTGCGTAAAGCCAAGACATACGTGGAACCATTTTCATCGGTATGTCTGGGACATTGTTTTCCACTGTCTTCGAGATCCCCTGTAACGGGCTTGCAGCTCTGCTCACGTGGAGATGAATATTCTGCTTCTGGGAAGACTGGCTGTGGTCTGACTGTGGTCATGTTGCCTTGGGTTGTTTTAGAGTCCACAAAAATGGGGACATGCTTCTAGTTCACGATTGCCACAATACAGAGGCATCACCCGCCCACCCAGTTTAGAGCAACAGAGACCCTGCAAGGACTTGAATTCTTACAACGCCACTGTCGTCCCTGGGCTGCTGTGACCTGAAATGCAGAAACTGAAGAGAAGGAAAGCCAGGCTTGTCCAGAAGGCCCAGCTGGTAGCTGAAGGAGTATTCAGGCTCAGATTTGGCATCTCTGGACCCAGTGCTTCTGCTGTGGCCTCATATATCATGGAGGTTACTGTCACCAGCAGACAAGAGCCTAGTCACTCTGACTCCCTGCCCCAGCTTAGAGTGGAGCACAGACACCTCTGAGGCCCTGCCTTTGGCAGACTCTGCATGCATGAACCTCCTGGGGGAATGCGTTTCTAATCAGGGCACACCACCTAACCTTTGCCTGTCTCAGTCCTGATGAAGTCATCTTTCCCCCTCTGAACCTGGATTCTGACGCCTGTCTTCCCCCTACCTTGGGGCTCAGCTGTCACCTGGAGTGTCCGTGCCAGCCAGAGCCCTGCCTGGGTGTGATGGCCTAAGAAGCTTTCTCTTCACATGCAGACCACAGATGCTCCCCAGGACCATTCTCAAGTGTTTTAGCATCTCATTTCCAATTCCCATCCTCTGCATATCTGATCTGGGCTTACCAGGGTTTCTAGTCTGCTCACACACACCCCAGTGCTGATGGCTTCCGATTCACCCCACCCTGCAAAGGACTTCCGCTATGCTTAGCAAACTGTCTGTATCATCACTTGCTGCCTCGGACTTCCCAGCTCTCTCTGTTCCAGCTCCCTGACCTGGCATTAGCCCAGCTTTCCTGGCAGTTTACTTTGTCCCTAGATACTCAAGGTGTAGCAGAGCTGCACCTAGGGAGGCCTTTAGAGCCTGGGTGTTAATCTTCTCATTGAGAGTGCCAGCCAGCGTAGCCTACACCTGGCCCCAGACGGATCAGAACTGCTACGTGACCTCCCTTCACCCAAGGGTTTTAAGTGTGTCACGCCAGTCGCTAGTTTTGCATAATCACTCTGATGGGCTGCTATAAAAGTGCTCTATTGAGTCTATAATAAGCAGGCAGGAAGAGACATTCTGAGCCTAGGCCATTGGGATACTAATAATACTGGTTTTAGAGAGTGTCATTTTGTTTGTTTGTTGTTTGGGAGCGCTGGGGACCATTCCCTAAGGATATTCAAGCAAACAGGAGTCATTGTTATGTAATTTCCCA